AGCTCTGCAGTGACTTCCTAACAATGGAGAAGAAAATATCCCACTGGCACTACTACAGATTATAGTTGTGTCATAGTTGAGTAAAAATGGGTGCAAGCATGCTCTGTTTGTTAAATAAGACATTTCAATGTTTGCAGAACATCTGTGTAACCAATCAAAGCCTCTTAGAGGCTTCATCTGAGTTTAATTTGGAGAACTTGACGTTCTTCTGATTTGTTTTGCCATCAGGTACATGTTGACACAGATTCCAGTGAAACATACAAATGGTTCCTTCATCCTGCTGCTTGTTTTTTTGCTTTGATATAGATTAAGCTTGACATATTAGCATGCATCACATTTAAAATGAATGTTTACTGTTAGGGTTTGATGAGATTGGAACAATACAAATTTGTTTGCAGAAAAACTAAAACGCATTTGTAAAATATCAATTTTTATGGTTTATCATGGCTTGTTTTAGTTATATTTGTATGTTATTAGAATAAATAAGAAACCTGCATTTCAGTTGAGACCATCTCATTATGTTGATTGTTTTTTTGCCTTTCGACCTTGTAGCATTTCAGCTCAACTAGATAAAAAAATTACACTAACTCTTAATATATTATTAGTTTGAGCATAAAGTATCTGTTAGAGATAACTGGCATTGCAACTATGTCAATCAAAGTGAACTAAAGGATATGTTTCCAGTTTTCTTCAGTTAGGCTTCTTCATTCAGCTGAACATGATACTCTATCACTGCCAGCAAAATGCTGCCAATTTCATTTATTCATTCTGCATTCAGTAAGAATGCAAATATCAGGCTGAAAATGCTTTATTCAGATTTCAAATGACGTATTTGGAAGCACTGTGTCTTGATATTAAACATGTTCGTGTTTTTTCCACTATTTCTGTGCCTCTTCATCATTCACCAGTGTCAGTGCGGTGTATGGTGAGGTATAACTCAAAAGTGAGGGGAAATAATACCTCAACCCGAGGCCTATTATTGGCAGCCATTTTCCCCCAACGAAATAGCTATGAATATTTTAAACACACGCTTATTTCATCATCCATTACCGAACTTTGTGAGGAAAAAACGGTATTTGAACGGTGCTGACGAAGAAAGTTTAGGTGGAAGAAAGCAGCCTGCTGATTGGTAGTTGGTCTGAGTAAAGAACCCCAAAAAACCTTTTCCCAAGTCAGGAATTTTAATTCTGTTGTGGGACGTTAAGACCTTGTCCCATGGGATCCTTAATTTGAAACAGTGACTTACTTTTTAGCCACAGACGGGGACAAACAAGAGTGGATATATTTTATTTTGAACTCGTTTCCTTCATGGAAATGTGATGAGCTTTTTATAAAGCACCACTATGAAAGGATCTCCATATTATGTTTACAATATTTGAGGGGCGAGGCCAACTCACCACAAAAATGATTTGTAGGTAAGATCATAAAATGTCATTTAACCCACTCAACAAAAAAAAAATTTTATGGCACAAGTCCTTCACGAGTCCATAAAAAGAGTTGGTCAAAGTCTTAAATAAATCAAACTGACAAGCAAGTTGACAGCGAGTGAAACCTTTTATAGATTTAGGAGCAGCCGAACACAGATCTGTTTGTTACAGAACTCCGGCCCCTTTCTATCACAGTCCCTATAAACCTTGGCTTCTTATAGTATACATCTTGGAATGAATTTCTGAATATTTCTTTCCTGTTTTTCAGGTTTAGTCACAGGAAATCCATATAAATCGTTTTTCTTTTAACAGATACTGTGCGGGCTATTCAAGCATCTCAGCGTCTGGTCTGTCCATGTGTAAAAAACTCTGCTCATCTTTTATAAAAGTTACTGCTGACTGAGGTGTAAACCCTCCAGAGTCAATGAATCATTGCTTTCCTTCAGTGTGTCTTTGCGTACTCCGTCCGGCTCCCCCCCCCCCCCCCTCTCCACTCCTCCAGTCTGCCATGTCATCTGTCTCACTGAAAAACTCGGAAAGAAAGGCAAAAATCCTCTCTTTCCCTCCTGGTACTTTACTCACTTTTCACTCCCGCCTTTTCCCACCCTCACTTCTGCCTCTCGCACCTTGAGTCGAATTTAATTGCTTATCCAGGGAGAAATAAATGCCAGGTAAATGGTTTTGTAGGGGAGGGTTGGTGATAGAAAAAAAGAGTGACTGTAGTGTAGTGTCTCCTAAACATGCAAGTCTTTCTTTGGCTCTTTATGCCGGGCCGTGTATATGTGTGTGTGAATGACAAATGCGGATAGTTCCACAGATGGCCCATAAAAGCAGCAGCTTGTAATGAAGCAACTGAGACTGAAATCATGGTTATGGTAAACTGGGGAAAGAACGAGACCGGGAAGGGGGAAGCGGAGATAAATTAAAACGGATAAACAAGCGGAGGAGGAAGTACAGGTATGGGGAAATAAACAAGAGAGCTCACATGATGAACAATAAACAATGTAAAGGAGTGCAGCGCAGCTCGTGGATACTGGATTAAGGATTGTAATTAAACCCTGTGATGTTCACAATAAACTAGACTGACAAAGAAGGAGGGATTGAGGGGATGGACGTAAACAGTGATATAGTTGTATAAATAAAACTGGACTTATAGGTTGATGCACTGAGCAGGATTGCCAAGAAGTTTCAACTTTAGGAGAAAGAAAAATTAAAGGAGCCATTTCTCAGACTATGAAAAGATTTGATACTTTATGTTATAGGCTATGTGTTAATTTTTAAGCATTCAGTTTAACAGCGTAAAGCAGATTAAAAAACACCATGTCCACACCAATTTTACATCACTGCTGAAATCATTTTGAATTGGGCTATAAAGGGGTATTCAAAGGGGTAAATGAGGGGGTTTTGTAAGTATTTACGAAGAAAAAAACACCAGTGTGAGAGCTTATGTGTTCCTGATAGGACACTATTCAACTGACATCTCGACACAGAGTGTGTTCACACCAACTTGCTAAATCGATAGGCCAACAGGTCACAACACCAGGCCAACCTGACACCTATTCACATTACAGCGCAGGGGGTCGCCACGGTGATGGATGATCTCGGTTGTGCGTCCGTGTGGGTGTGGATAGCTACAAGTGCTGGTGTCCGAGTGTATCGCGTCAGTGTGTGTCCCCCTTGTCACTGCGTATGTGAAGATAAGCAGGAGGGTGTTTGGAGGGATTTCTGTGAGGGTCTTAAACAAAATGGTGTACTTTTTTTTGCTTTCTAAGCACAAAAAGTACCTCAGACAAGAACCTTAAAGAATGTTTTTTTTCTGCACGTGAAAAAAGAAAGAAACATGTTTCTATTCAAGATTAAAGCACATACTAAAAAGGCAGCGAGGATTATTTTACTACAGGGAAATCAAAATGTTGGCAAATGTTGTTTTCTTTTAACGGTTTGAAGCCCACTGCACTACGGCTACTATAGTACACCCAAAAATCTACCACTGCTGCTTTTACCTTTCTATCCTGTTATTTCTTTCCTTAACTTTCATCCTTTTTACCCCTACTCACTCCCCATGTCCGAGTAGTTTCACACTTCTATCTGTCATGCGAGGCCTCCTGTCTCACTCTCAACTACAATCCCAACATTTCTGTCTCTCAGTTTTGTTACCTCCCCCTCATTCTGTCTTCCCAACCCTTGTGTCTGTCTGAACACATTCATAGTTGTATCAATCAAGTTCAAACTATAAGGCTACAGTTGGTCCCTGTGCTCCCATCTACTTCCTGGTTTATGACTTGCTATACCTCTTCTCTGCTTCAATCAGTTGTATTTTTCACTCTTCTGTGTGTGTGTTTGTGTGTGTATCTGCATGTTACTAAGCCCACATTGTGTATGATTTTGGCAAGGCATTATAAAAGGCAACTAGAGGGAAAAGTATTTCAAATTCCCTTCCGTCTGAGGCTGCATTTAGTCTGTTTTAAGAGCAATTAAATGGATACTGGCGTCATGCTTGGCACTATTCAATATAAATAGCTACGAGTGGAAGATATATCTGCACGGACTTGCGACGATGTGCAAATAGACCTGTTCCAGTACGTTAGTTAACACTTTTTTAATAGAAAAAAAAGCGCTGATTCAGCAGACAGAATTAAAATTGTGTTTATGCTCCTCACTTGTGGTCCATCATTGTGTTGTCCATGCTTGTTGCTAACATAGCTGGCCAGTGTCAGTCTTGGTGTTGCTCACTTACTAGCTGCTCCCATTGTGTCTTTGTTTCTGACAAAAGTGGCAGTGAAATGCTGCAGCTCAAATATCGACATCCCTCGTTGCTATGTTCAAATGTACAAAATAAAAAAAATCACCACTGCAGTGACCTATATGAAAACTGGACATAAGACAAACACTCTATGTACTTTTGGAGTTACAGATGGCTAAAACTATGTAAAGGCTTGTATTTACTGGACTGGGATTCAGATATGTTAATGTGTGGGAAGAACAAATGGTTTTCATGGTTCATGGGTCATATTAAAGGACCCTTAGCTTAATCTTGCAAATGTCATCAGGCAGGTTAATGAAGCCTCTGCTGGTATGTACTGTATCTAAACTTCAGAACTGTGATGCAAGTACCCTACTTTGTGAGAGAACTGTATTCAATAGAAGACGCAGTGGGGCTTTTAGACCGGATTTGGAAAAGGGAAAATGTAGCATGGACAGCAGCTCTTATGTATGATCCTTGAATACAACAGAGTCATTCAACCACCGGACCGAGCTTTTCCGCCACCTGCATTTTCGAAAGCACTCAGAGCCCCTAGCATGTTCACTGATGCGCTTAAATGGGAGGGAAATTAAGCTGGAATCATCAAAAATATAAAGATGTCTTAGCTCAGACTTAGGGGGAGAGGGAAGACAGCTAAAATTCTTTCTGTGTAGACAAGACATAAGTGTCTCACAGAGTGACCGAAGACCTGCAAAATCTGACTGAACATTAGCACGTTATATTTAGTAAAGTGAGTGCCGAGTTCCAGTTTAGAAATAGTTAAACCTTTTAGTACAAATCCTTTCTGCTTTTTTTTTCCTCCTTTCCAGAACTCCACAGTACATCTTGTGGGAACCCCGGTGTCCCACCTAAAGCAGTCCTAAGTGGTGGCGGTCACTTTGCAGTAGGAGACAGCGTCCGGTACAGCTGCGTCCCTGGTTATGTCTTAGACGGCCACGCCACGCTCACATGCATCACAAATGCTGGAAACATTGCTGTCTGGGACTTTCCTGCTCCTATTTGTCGAGGTAAGGACTAAACCTATATATGTATATGTGCACGGCTAGATATGAAGAGTTTTATTCTAGAGTAAAAATCCACTGGAAAATATAGTTTGTCGACAGCACATACATTTCTAAAGGCTGAAAAAAGGAGAAAAAACAGTAATAAGCAATATTTTTTAAATATATATTGGTATACAGAGATCATACAGTTTGTTAATTGACAAAATGAGATATGCTTTATTCTCTGTTTGTGGGGTATTTGAACAAAACTCTTCATATACAGTGTTGATGTATGTGTTTTGTGAAAGACACAGAAAGACAGACAGACAAACTGGTGTGTTTGTGTGTGTGTGTGTGTGTGGCAGAGAATGAGGCGAGCATCTATAGGTCCTCTAGTGCGTGTGTGTCTTTTATGCTGCAGTTCCTGTGCAGAGGAAACATTCACAACAAGGTCCCTCATACAGTGTCTGTGGATGCAAGTCTAGTGATGTGTGCATGAACATCAAGCGTCTCATTCTGTATATTTAGCTTAAAAAAATATAATTTTCTAAACATGACTTAAACACATAATTCCAGAGCTAGTTTACACATGAAAAACATCCTTTAGTAATATGGCAGTGTTTAAAAATATGTATTTAATGATTTTGACACACCAGTTAGGAAAGTATCCATCAGTTATTGTATTGAATGAGTCTATAAATGAAAAAAATAAATATTTTTATGCTATTTATTTAGATATAAAGATTAATAACTAATATAGCTTTTATCTGACTGCCATAGAAGACTGTTACTAGTACTATTGTACTTTTGAGTATCCAATGTGTCTCTAAATACTCTCAAAATAATGTATTTGATATGATTTTCTCTATGAAACACACAATTGTGCATTTTCATTAGCCATCTTTTCCTCATCATTCCTTGTGGAGATGTTGGTAGGGTTTAAAAGTTCAATCTCTTTCATCAGAAAAACATACACTTATCACTTCACTGTTAACCTTTTCAAGAAAATACAGGATGTATGTATAGAATAAAACATCATTTATTTTGATTAGCATATTTAAATTCACATTCTGCTAAATTCTGGAAATTCCATTGGTCACATGAATTGCTGGACCACAGTAACAACAATTTTTGTCTGGGGCATCAGTCAAATCAATGGAGGCTCTGTAAATAAAATAACTTTAAATGCACTGATTCAAGTGTAAAACTGACACCTCTCACTGGGAGGTAAGACTCCAAGCCCCTGATTTACACCTTGGCACAAGCCCTGACTTGGCATTATAAGGTTATTGTTGGTATTACTTTAGAGGCACATTGGTCATTTAGAATTCTGAAAGGCATGAACTCACTTTTGGCTCATTTTGATGCCTGGTTTTACTTCATATTCATTCAAGGGTGTTTGTCTGTCAGAGTACAAAATGAATGGATTGCATTATTCGATTTCATCAGTTGGAGTTATGTACTAATCTTTGTTTGACACATTGTAGAAATGGAAAAAGGCATATCTTAAAGTGTGTTCGATTTGGACGTATGGACGTGAAGTTTCTTTATTTCTTCAAATTTTGTTGGAATTCTTTTTTTTAGACATTATAAAACAATTTAGCATTGGTGAAATGGACTTGCTGGGATTATTTCCTGTCATGTAACCTAACCTTTGGGACAGAATATTCTTATATTTCTATGGGGTACGGGTGGGAATAAATGCAAACTATTAGTGCATGTGCTAGTAATTCAGTTTTGGAGCTTTTTATAGAGGTTACACTATTTGAATGTGCAATGAACGAATATGTTGATTCAAAGCACTGCCTTTGAAATGACTAAGTGTATGGATAAAGTTTTAGGTAAAATGTGTTCATAGGCCAAATGTAAACACATTATAGACATGCTGCATACTGCAGAGGACTAATGACATACATGTCTCTTCTGGTCGGAATAGAATGTTTTTGTGAAATCCCAGGGATGAACAGATTGAAGCTTACATGGCTAATGAATACCAAGTAGCAACCTGTACTTGTCTCATTGATAGATAACAGTCCATTCATTTTAAACATTGATTGCTTTGTGCTGCTCCCAGTGGCTGGCTTTGGTCTTTGCTGAACAGATTTAGTACTGCCTGTACTTTTATATCACCATACTTTAATACAACAACTACTTTGTCCAACAAACACAATGAGATATTCCCATTATGGCTATTTATGTGCTACCAATGCAGATTTACCTTGCTGAGTGAATCTGGGTCAATGCCTCTGCCATATAACCTCTTCTTTTTGATCTTTAACCTGTAATTATACTCAATTGTAGTTGACCTTAATATTATGTTTAAAGAATTTCAAGTACCTGATAACAGTTATGAATCTCTTATCCCATTATTCACCAACTGGCAATGATCCTTGATGGCCTTTCCATATGACAGCTAAAACTCACATCTGATCGAGTACTTTATGCAGTTCAACATGCATAGTTTAATAGATTGCCATTAACAATTAAAGTGTTTTTCATTTTCATGTCTTTTGTTAATGTTTCTAATAGTCATCATGAGAAAAATGAGTGAGCATGCTGTCTTTTGGATCTTGGTTATCTAGCTTATTAACTTAGCTTTGTGTTTTTATCTGTAATTGTGAATTCAGAGACATATTCTTTCAATGATTTATTCATTTTCCCCACTTTTATTTTTTCTTTCAATAAACCATTCCTGTTTTTTTTCATGACTGTAATCATAAATTAAAACGTGATTAAACTTTTCAAGTGTGCTCCAAAGATAAAGTTGACTAGACAACATAAACGTATAATTAATAAAACAGTATTTCATAAATAAACCAATACGATTACTTCAAAATTAACAAGAATGTTTTCTATGTTCAACATCAACAGAATTGTATCCAAATTTATTTTTGTTTTGTTGTTCAAACATCTTTTTATTTTTTTGGTTTGTATTTCTTAGCATACGGTGAACCAACATATCATCTGCCATCTTTGCAATAAAGGCAAAGCAAGTAAGAACAAACTTTCGATAAAAAAGAATACAGTGAAGCTTATCTTTCAATCTTATTTATATAGATAGAGCCTGCTTATTTATAGTTTTTATCTTTCATAACTGTATAGATAATTTCCCTCTAAATTTTTTCTATGTCCAAATAAACTAGGTTAAGCATTCATTTTCAAGCTCTGGCTATTTGTTCCACGAATAATTTATATTTACACTTCTACTCTAGCCTATTTTAAACATATAAATAACCTGAACTTAATACAGTTGTAGTTTCAAGATTTAGCTTTCAGGTTGTAAATGTAGCTAAATTGATGACCTGTCACAGACCAAATCAATTAAACTATGTCATAGACAGGACAGTTGAAGAAAAGTTTATAAACTTGGAAATAAGCTGGAAAAGAGTGAATTGGATGTATTGTGTTTATGTCAATTATCTATTTTCTTTTTTTTTTGTCTTTTCTCATCAAAAGGTAAAGATGACACTCATTTAGATAACCATAAATGTGTTACTCTTTGAATTTGAAGACATTAGACGCAACATTTTCAAGAAAAAAATCGCCCTGTGCAATAAATGTGTGTCTTGGAGTCTAAGAAAAGGTTGAGAGGAGGGGAGTGAAAGTGAAGCGAGGCCAATGGCAACTTGTCAGAGCTGGATTAGCAATGTCTCTGTCATTCTGTCAGGAAGGCTAAGAGGAGCTAAGCTACTAATGTGCTCACACATCCAACCCACTTGCATTTGCACACCACGCACAAAAATCCACGAACACACACGCAGTCACAGCATTATATACTATTCCTGCTAGTGTCTGTGTGCTGACACCTAGAGGCGTTCATACCAGCTGTAATAGGCTATATCAATTATTCAGTCATGCAATCAAATGGCCGAAGACGCTGCGCTTTTAGTGGTGGAACCAGAGTTAGGCTCTCTCTACCCTCTGTGAATGTGTGTGTCGTTGATCATGTCGCTTTACATACACACGCTGTGTTTCGGTGGTCATGCATAAATCATGGTGGAATATTTAGAAATTAATCCGAGCTCAAACTTAAAACCAGCTCTCTTTTCACAAGAATCTGTCACATTCATGACTGAAGAATTTTAAAGATTAACTTTGTTTTGCTTACAGAATGTACACACACACATAGACATAATTCACGCTATAAACAGTATGCTAAAACACAAACTGGTCTGCATGTAACTGAACCACACAACACCAACCAACACTCATTCATATTTTCTTGTAAACATTTGAATTAGGGAAAATCAAGACGAGGCAACATCTTTACCTTTTTGTTTGCTTTGAAAGAGAATCCACCGTTTTCTAACTTTGTAACTTAAATACCAAATCTGTAATTCATTGTTTATTTAGAGTTTATTTTTGGTTTTGGTCAGATCTGTTATATTGTGCATGATTTATCAATGCATGAGTACATTCAACAGCTGAGTACAAATTCACAAGCTGACCTTTTTTTTTTCCTCCACTGATTTCAGTTTAGTTCTGCAGTGCTCCAATGCTATGATCCCTCTTTAAATACATTAAATACATTGTATTATATATTGTAAAATATATCAACCTTTCTGAACTAAACGTCTAAATGTCTGCTAAATGAGAACATTATAATAAATACGCACATCTAATTACACAAGAGTGTGTAGTCTCTGTGTCTCTGCCGCTTCACATAGGCTGCAAATGTGAACAGCTGAACCCACCCACGCAGAGGGGATGCTCTCTAGTAGAAAATTTAGCATGGAGGAGCCGTGCTGAGTCGAACTGTCCCGTATTCTACCGTGTCGTGTTCCGGGTAAAAAAAAAAACACCGGTAGTAGACTAACCACCAGGAAATCAGACTGGCAACTACTTATTATCTCGTGGCATAAACAAGACCTCCAGCCGCTATAATCCACCGCAGTACCCCAAGTTAGGCTACATCGTGCCAAAAAACATAAACCAATAAACCGATACTGTTCGGCTCATATGAGCCATACACCGATCTGCCTCAGCATTAAAGCGACTGACAAGGGTGCTATTCGAAAAATATT